ACCGATTTTTATCAAATTTTATATGTATTCAGTAGGTCTGAGGATCGGCTATTTATTTTTCATACCACTGAGTGATAAAGAATGTTCACCCCAATTTTTTTTGGTATCAATTTAGCTAGTATATTTATACAATTTAAACATAAGTCTTCAAAGATATTTAATTACTTTTACACAATAAGACGTAATGGCTACTTATTATACATGAACTGAATTCATATCTCAAAAAAACACCAACAAAGTGAGAAATTTACATCAAAATCGATATAGTAAAAAAAATCCGACTTCATTTTTTAATTTTATAATGAAAATATTTTACGACAATTCTATCTCATTATATACATAAGTACTATAATTATTAAGTATGAATGAAAAAAAAACTCTCTACGGCCTGTTTGTATGATGCAAACTCGTGGTAAAAAAAACACGTATTAGGAGATAATCTTTTAACCAGACAAACCTTACTACTTGTTATTCCTGAACTAATATTATATATACATATATATATGAATATATGTCGATAGATCCTATGATGTCAGTGGTGGCCTAGTGGTTAAAAGCCCGCCTCTAATGCACGAGAGCGCGGGTTCGTTCCTGGCCCGGGCAAGTACCAATCTGAATTTTCCGAGTCATATGTACTTTCTAAGAATATTTAGACATCACTGATTAATGCATTCCCAAAAGGGGGTTGATGTCTAAGGCGGCCGGTCGTAAAAACAATTAGCCAAAACTATTCACAACATGTAAGACAGACCCTGGCTAAAGCTGGGAAATTGCCAGGAAGAAGATATATGGGGGTATATAAGGGGCAATGTAACAATTTAGCCATTTTCATTTTCTTGCTTTAAACGCTTCATAATACTGTATTCTACATACATATATTTAAAAAAATGCGTATTATATGATGTCAAGACTTAGTTTTAATGCAAAAGGCACAAGAAACATAGTTTGAAACGTATAAAGGCTATATATACATTATTTAAAAACTAGTAGATTTACAAAAAAGTTTATCAATCTTAAACGACGTACTCGTACATGTATGTCATAGTTGCTATACAAAGTTTCAAAAGCATCAGCTGTATGAACAAGATACATTGAAATCAAGCTTAAAACACCTCTACTGAAAAATTATAATTTTGCACATTAGTCCTTATACATAGTGCATGAGGGCGCGGGTTCGATCCAGGCAAGTACCAATGTGATTTTTCCGAGTCATATGTACTTTATAAGACTATTTAGACATCACTGACAGATGAAGGAAAACATCGTGAGGAAACCTGGACTTATAATTTCAAGTTATAAGTTTTAAATCACCAACCCGTCTTGAGCAAGTGTGGTGATTAATGCTCAAACCTTCTCCATGTGAGAAGAGGCTCAGCAGTGGGCTCTGATAGGATGATGGCATGGGAGCCATCGATATATTGATGTGTTTCTCTACATGTTTTTCCGCGATAATCTGAACCGGTTTTAGTGCGGTTTTCACTATCACATAGTGGAAGACTTCAGTTAGAATTTAGTCTTAGTTTCATTTAAATTATATTTATTATAGTTATATTTATTTATAATACAACACGTTCGAAGCCGCGGTTAAAGAATGGCTATAGATTATTCTGTCGATATATTTTTGCAGCTAATTTGAATCATATAAATCATTATAATAAAAAAATAGCTTAGCAATACTTCAAGCTGGAACAGCTATTCACATAGCTTTAAATTATTTCCTAAAAAAAAAATTAAGTAATAATATTAATATAATCTTTTCTCATTATTTTCTGCTAATTTTCTTTTAATATTTATTTTAATTTATATATATTAATTATTTAGCGTGCACACCATAGATTTAAATAAGCACTGCATACTATACCCATATAACAAATAAAACTATATTGTTTAATTCTTACTTACATACTTTTAATCATACATTACGAAATACAAATGTTTACAGACATTTAATATGTAATGAAAATTGTTATTTTCCAAACATACTCTGCTTACTGTACCCCAAATGTGCAAACCTCTGTTAATTAGCATTATATACATACTAGAAGACCCGGCGAACTTCGTATCGCCTTATAATCAAGAAATATCTATTACGTTTTAATATTTATATTTTTGGAGTTAACCTATTTAAGCCATAAATCTCCGTGTTTTGAAGGGCGACAGAATGATTGACATATTAGTTAGTTGTCAAATCTAATGTCAAAAAAAAGGTTTCTATCAACAGCTACTAATAAATTAAAAAAACATTGTCCAGCGGACAAAATTGTGAATCTAAACAATTCCTAAGTTTCGACTCTCAAACGTTCTTACCACTTATTCGCAATGTATAACTAGTCAAAAAATAATTTAAATAAATTGATTCGGAGTAAAATTTATAATTGAAAAACGGGATACTATCAGTATGATAGTAAACGAAATGCGTATTTAACAAAGAAATTATTTTTGGCAAATCTTCTATATATATAAAAATGGATTGCTGTTCCTTAGTCTCGCTAAAACTCGAGAACGGCTGAACGGATTTATCTTATCATAGTCTTGAAATGTTCGTGGAGGTTCAGGGAAGGTATAAAAGCTGAAAAAAAATTGATTCATTAGTGGGAAAACCATAAAAACAGCCCTTTTCTATTTCCCATACAAAAGTTTTTTTTTGACATTAGATTTGACAACTAACTAATATGTCAATTCTGTTTGATTGAAACAGGAAAAACCTGATTATTTATGGCCTCTAAGACGGAATAGAGTTCGCCCGGTCAGCTACACCTACATATATTACTCTTGACCTAACTAACGCGGACGAAGTCGCGGGCAAAAACTAGTCTTATATAGATATAGTACTAATACATAAGGTTTTAGTAAGTCAGTGGTGTCCTAGTGGTTAAAAGGCCCGCCTCTATGCATGAGGGCGCGGGTTCGATCCTGGCAAGTACCAATGTGATTTTTCCGAGTCATATGTACTTTCTAAAATTATTTAGACACCACTGATTAATACATTCCCAAAGAGGGTTGATGTCAGGCAGGCGGCCGGTCGTAAAAAACAATTAGCCAAAACTATTCACAACATGTAAGGCAGACCCTGGCTGAAGCTGGGAAATTGACAGGTAGAAGAAGACACTTGTACATTAATATACAGTGACATCTCCATACAGAATACGGTTATTGAAGTTAGGAACTATGTTCTATAAGAACTATGTTTTGCATAAGAACTTTGATATAACAAAAAAAGCAGACGGAGACGCGTGTAGAAGCTAGTATATAATAGATTTTTCAATTTATTTAATAAGTTATATATATTACTATTTAAATTCTTCATTGTATGATAGTGAAAAATTTTAATTACTAATCAAACTTTGGTACGAGTAATTACTTAATGTTTTACGTTTACGAACGTAAACAGTTTACGGAAATCCGTCAAATTTAATTGTATAATTAATGAAAAAAAATTAATTACTTCAATCGAGATGGCAACATATATTTTAATTTTTTAATATGGCAACATTTACAAAAATCCAATTGCTTGTTATAAGACTAAAATTCAATTATCTCAAAAAAAGGCTATTTCATCATGTACAAAATCCAATAATCATGAAAAAATATTTAATTATATATTTTTTTTAAGTACTTATATTGTATGTAAAAGGATTTATAAATCAGGAATAACAAGTGAAGGATAAAATATGAAGGATATATAAATTAATTTTTATTATTAAACCACAATAAGTGTTATATACATATAATTAAAATTGTATATATAAAAAAATTCAAACAATATTTGATGTATACAGACAAAATATTTCTCAAGAAAAAACTAAATATTAATACTCATACATATACAAGAAGTTTTCCATAATTTTTAATAATTCACTAATATAGTAACATTTTAAAATATTACATATTATTCTAAAGACTTATTGATTGCAAAAATATAAACATTTTTTTTCAAATTAGTTTATACATATATATAATATATATATCAAAATCCGGTTCGCCATTTTGTCACGTCGTTTATAGAACATAGCGTTCCCGATGCACAGAGCACTAGGCAGCGTCTTTATTTGCGCGGGAGAGCCCGACACAAGATGCACTAAGAACGTTACGTCAATATATATACAGCCAATGTACTACTGTACTGGCTGGAAGGGTTTTTTTTTAAATGTCAGAACTGGCTGAAATTGTTTTTTTTTTTTTTAATGTCAGAACTGGCTGAAATTGTTCCATTTTTAAATTATAACTCGGAACTGTCTGAAACTGTCTTTTTTTTATGCCTCAGAGGCTGAAATTATTATTTTTTTTAATTACATATCAGAACTGGCTGAATGATTATTTTTTTTAAATTATATTCTAGACTGGCTGAATGTTTATTTTTTTTTATCGAATAGTTGTTCATTCCTTCGAGTTGAAGGACTTTTCCTTTGTTTGAATTTACTGTTCTTTTTTCAAATATACTAATAGTTTTACTTTGATAACTAATTCATTGAAGTTCTTTTTTTTTAATGTGAAAACTATTTTGTGCCAGAGCCATTGTTCTTTTTTTTTTAATACTAATTTCTTCTTGATATAAAACCTTTGTATGTAATAATCTTCATGGTGTTCTTTCTTCGAGCGCTGATTGCACACTCAACCTACCCACCATTCGACAAGACTGAAGGTATATCATCGCCAGTCAAGAAGAATGGCAGGTACATCAAATGTTATCTTCATACTCCATTTCAATTGCTTCTTGATCCAAAAAGGTTGTATATATTTTAAAAAAATTTCATAAAATACAATCAAAAATAATTATAACACTTATCGTGGTTTAATAATATCGACTGATATTGAAACAAGGTTATTTAGAAGCTGAGCAAATACATATATAGGTCGACTATAAATTGTACTATCACAATGGAAATCCATATTAATCTGATAAGATAGTTAGGTTGGTATAATATAAGATAGTTAGGTTGGTACTGCAACCTTGACTTACTAAGTACTTATAATACTTCCTTGAACCTTGATCAACTTACCTGGCTAGTATCACTGTCGAAGACCGCATCGTAGGCGTATATTCTAGGCGGCTCTGGGGTGTTCGTACTGCTTCTAGTGACCGCAATGGTTCCGTTCACACCGTCAACTGATACGCAGCTCGACGCCCCATCCAGCCTCTCCCTATGATCCATAGGACGCACGCGCACTACAACGCGAACGTTCTCGACCGTCGAGCTGGTATCGTCCTATAATACGTAATATATGAGTCACGTCTAAATTTTAAGTAACACGTCATATAATACTAAGGATATAGTATTGTATCACATGATCTTATTGGAATACTCACAGGCATCTTGGAGGCGTCGTTCTGACGCGGAGCTGCGATGCTGTTTGAGGCTCGGGGCGTTTTCGTCTTTGTTTGTCGTGTATTAAGTAAAAATCAATACTGACGACCTACTTTTCCAAGGGCCACCGTTTCCCTCTTCAGTGAAAATGAATTGTCAATTCTATACGGTGTTACCAGTGAAGGATTTCCACCGATCTATATAATAAAGCATATTACACACGTTTCATAAGAAAAACATTTTTAAATTTTAATATTGTCACGAATTATGCTTAAAAATTGTGTATTAATTAATCATAAGCTATTCATATAAGCGGGATCAATGGCGTAAATTTTGATAGAATAATTTATCACTAAAAGTGTACTATATACACATTTATTTAGTTTTGCTGAATCACAGCCAAAATTTTATTACGATTTTAGTTCATTTCTGCTAATGCAGGAATAGTAAAAAAATAAATAAAAGTCAAGAAAGTGTTACATCTCATTAATAGTGGGAAAAGTTAAATATTAATTAATTATAAATATTAAATATTAAATAAGTTATGCATGAATGATTTCTTTGTTTATAATATTTTGGGAATATTATATTCATGAGCTGTATTTTATAGAAATATGTTCAAACAATATATAATAAAAAATACCGATGTAGTTTTTTTTATATTAAGATACCTGTCCCTATTAATTAGCTACTAAGAAAAAATACTTCAAAAATCTTTATTTTTAATTTAAAATGTAATAGTTCATTAACAACTTTGAAAGGAAATATTATCCAAGTTTTATTTAATCCTCTTATTTTATAATTCCATCAACTTTTACTAAATCGTGTTAAACGTCACAATTTATTGATTTTTCTTTGTTCTGCTTTAAAAATGTATTAATATTAGAAAAATGACTTGAAACTTGTAAAAATGGGATGATCCAATTAATATTTAACGATATTTGAATATATTAGCTTAATATTTTCAATATTAATAGAAAATAGTATAACAATATTGATAATGACATATTTAGATAATAGAAACTCAAAAGCATTTTAAGTAAATGTCACAGTTTACGTCAATCAGATGTTAGATGTTTATTTTTGAAGACACCAAAAATTCTTTTAAAAATTCTAATGGCTTTCGAGTTTATACATAACAAATTAAACTGGTTGTATATAAATCATAAATAATATATAAAAATGTCGGTGGAAATAGTCGAAAGTGTGGAACATATTGCGAGTGACGTCGACGATTCAAGAAATTGTGTTAATTCGGTTTTATGTAGCGATTCAGGGATAGATAATGTTGATGTAGAGTCCAGTGTGTGTCTTGATTCATCTAATTCTAATTTATCCCCGTTAAAATCTGGTGAAAGTGTGTCAGGTTTCGTAGAAGGCAATGGAGTGCTTTCCACTGAAAACGAAGTTAGCTCCGAGCCTTCATCTCCCATATCCTTGTCTTCCGACGATAAAGACAACCAAAATGTATTTGACCAGACTGAAACCGAAAATTGCGTTGATTTGAATCACGAACCAGCAGATGTCGATAAAAGTAAATTCAATCCAAATCTGTATATTGACAGCAACTTAGCAACTTCCACGATCAGCCTGGATTGTACCAATGGAATAGAAAAGATCAGTCTCTCAAACCACAGTCGCAGTGCCGAAAACATATCATCAACTGACGAAACAAACGCCATTACCAAAGATATCGAAACAGAGAAGATTTTAACTGAATTTTCCCACCAAAAAAGCAAAGTTACTGCCACACAAAGAGTACCTGAGAACACGCTTACATTAGATGCCAAATACGCGAGACTGCCCAAAGAAATTCTCTCCCAAGATATAGGTAGCATCGTAAAAAATGTGCACGGCATATTCTCGTCTGTTAGCGGCAGTTTAAAGAACGCTTACACAAACAGCCACAGAGCTAATCCAAAACCTCAAATAAAACCACCTCAAATTAAGCCGATCACCAACGGGAATATAATTAACGATATATTCGAAGATGTACCTGAAGTTATACCGAGTAATGTCGATAAAGTTAACGCATCTCTTAACGGAAATACCGTAGATAGCAAACCAGTATGCGACAGTGATGACGCGAGGAGTGAAATGCTGAAATTGCAAATAGAGTCGTTGGAAAGAGTACTGTTTGAACAGAGGAAAGAAAATAGCTCATTACGAGTACGAGTCAAACAACAAGTTGACGAACTTCAAGCTAAAGATCAGACGTTCCGGGAATTGGAAGTAAAAGTTGATTTGGTATGCAAAATATATTACTTAACTTATTCTATCTCTAAGTTAAGCTAGAGTTTCTCAAAGTGAAACTATTGGTATATTACCCGGTTTGAGAATAAATTATTTTTTCACCTACAGAAAAACCAGTATAACTTATGCTAACAAAATTACAAATCAGGCCTATACTTCTACACAACGATCCTCTTTTTCCTGGGTCTCTTAACGCAAGGGGTGTTATTCCTCACTTTGGGAATGTCTGTCTTAAAATAACAGCAATTTTGTCAAGTATATAACATACTAGTCATTTCACACGGCTTCACTTATCAATATACAAATTTAATATCATACTTATGTTACATAGATATTGGTAAAGTAATTCTTGTCACAAATTGTTAAATATTGCATTTTCCCAATTATACATTGAACAAAATTTGCTTGCTTCTGTCTGTGTGTAGTAAAAATAATATAAATATATAGATTACTATTTATGAATTACAGAGGCCTCATTATTAAATGTGATGTATCACAGGAAGTACTCTGTATTTTGATGATAATTTTGTATTTCCTTGATATAAATTGAGTTAATGTTTCTTAATAACTTAAATTAAGAATATGAAACTAGTTGTTGCATTTGGAATTGTTTTTTACTAATGTATAATTGATATTTTTCTAATATATGCATATATAAAGAGGATTTAAATACTTACTGTTTTACACACAAAGTATTGAACAATATGTGTATATTCACAATGAAGAACCTACTTACATCAAAAAAGGGGTTATGGGTAGATTTTTATACTTTTATAACAATTCTACATACTGATATACATAATTCTTAATAGTTTATACTATTAAAATTCTGATTAAACATTATATCTCTTTCATCAGATGTGCAAACGTCTAGAACAGGCCCAAAGGGAAAAAGACGCAGCGGTAATGAGGTATGCGAGCACCGAATGTTCAGTTATCGAGGCTAAGAAGGCCGCTGAGAATGCTGCGAAGGCTGAAAAAGCTGCCATCGCTGAAATGGAACTTCTTAACGCCAAGTTGAAGACTGCCAGAGAGGAAAAACAAAGAATATGTCAGCTATATGATGATAAGGTCAGGAGATTTCTTAGATATGAATAATCCATAGAAATAGTCCATAGAAATACCCATAGAAGTCTTAATAGATGTTCTCATAGGAATCTTCTTTTAGTCAATTATGTGGAAGTCTTAATAGACTATCCGTGCAAAATCTTCTATCAGCAATGGTCGTACAAATTCTAGTTTTTGTTTGAATGGAATTTGTAAAGGAATTTTTCATAGAAAGCAATATGTGGGAGAAAATATGTATTATTAATAATATATCAGATTACGTCATATGTATTGAAAAAAATTGTATCTGAGATTCCCTTTATTGTTTAATATTTTTTCTATGTTTATGTTTAATATTTTTTTCTACTAAATATTACATTTTTTCTTATAAATTGTGCTAAATGTATAAATGCCAAAGTTTTTTATGGTCATTGAATGTATGTATGTTTGTAACTCGTTTACGCAAAAACTGCTTAACGGATTTCAATGGAACTCTACAGTTACACACATTGGGTATCAGAATACGACAGTAGTGAGACAGTGACTAGTTATTCTTACATAGAGGTCCCTGGGTCCTATAATCTCTCTTCATACATACCTCTCTTGTTCTGATTCCAAAACCACGTGAAGTCGCAGACAAGAACTAGTATTGGTAAACATTACAGTTTCAAAGTAATTTAGATATACTAAAATGGTTTTTCAGTGCCATGAATTGCAGAACAGTGAGCGGGAAGTGTCACAGGTGAAGGAAGATTTGAAGGAAGTGGAGGGTAGATTGAAATGGACCCAGAGCAAACTCAGAGTAGAGATGGACGCTTATAAGGTTTGATAATGATATGATAACGATATGATAATGATAGCGCGAGATAGGACGTGGATAGTTTTTTTTTGGGGGGTGATTAGTATAGAGGAATTTAGCGTTATGTTTAATAACGACATGAGATGAGAACTCATCGTTAAGTGCGTGTGTCGGGTCCATCGTTGTAGTGAGAGGAGCTTCAACAGTGACTGTGACTTGTGACCCAGGTGTAGGTTTAAGGGTCCCTATCTAACGCTCACCTCCACCGTCCAAGCTCCTCTCTCTACCTTATATTAAGTGGAGCAGTTCAAAGATTTTTGTTTATTTTTTCTTCATATACAAAGATACAGCGTTTTTTGTGTAAAATAAAAATATATATACAGGGTGACTGGTGAATTACTATCGATATTTGAGGACGTGATATTTGACGATCATATATGACAAAATAAAAATTAATATAACATAAATATTAATAAACTTCTAAGTAAAGTCAACCAAAAGTTGTGTAATTAATTACGCATCGTGTGAACACCCTACAGATTAGGTATACACACACACTCACACACACGCGGCGGGAGCGTGGTTTTGTATCAGCACGCCGCCGCACGCGTCCACACTAGGAACACTTGGAACGTGTCAACACTTTATTTATTTATACGGAAATTTGGTCAAAAATTAAGTACCTATTTTTTTTACATAATTCGAATGAGAATCATGTACCGAGTATGCTCCTTAAATATTGATAGTAATTCACCAGTCACCCTGTATATATATGGGCAGATTAATAGATTCAAAATATACTATATTCTAATCTATATTTAAAAAAACATACAACTTTATAAAAATATTGCATTTATAATATACTAGAAGACCCAGCAAACTTCGTATCGCTCTATAATCAAGAAATATCTGTTACGTTTTTTTATTTATATGTTTGGAGTTTACCTGTAAGCCATAATTCTTCGTGTTTTGAAGTGCGACAGAATGATTGACATATTAGTTAGTTGTCAAATCTAATCTCAAAAAAACGTTTGTATGGGAAATAGAAAAGGGCTGTTTTTTAGGGTTTTCCCGAAAGAATCAATTTTTCTCAGCTTTTAAACCTTCCCTGAACCTCCACGAACATTTCAAGACTAAGATAATATAAATCCGTTCAGCCGTTCTCGAGTTTTAAAAGAGAGATATATATTCGAGACTAAATAACAGCAATTCATTTTATATACATATAAAGATTTCTTACAAATATCTAATTGTCATCATTACGTCATTACATATCTGTCATTATTCGTCAATTGCATAGCTGTCAATTGTGTTTCGTTATTCCACGTTTTATAGTGACTGACGTTTCATGTCAAGTCCCACGGGAATGCCGTCGAACGGATCCTATTGGATTTTCCTAGCTCTAAACTACCTCCCTGCCAATTTTCAGCTAAATCGGTTCAGCCGTTCTTGAGTTATAAAAGGAGTAACTAATGCGATTTTCTTTTATATATAAAGATTGCACAGTAAAAATATGCATTAAGATTAAGACACAATTTTCTTTATAAATAATTTAATAAAATTTTCTTTAAAATTATTGCTCTATAAATATCCACCTCATTTTTTCAAATAAATATCTCATTACATAGCCCACCACGCAAAAAATAATATGGCGGGTGCATCTCTAATTCGGTTATATTTTCCACAGGACAGTACAGAGCGTATAGAGAAGTTAAACCAGCAGTTGACAGAACTAGAAGCTGCCAAGGAAACCGCGGTGGCGAATGCTAGCGATATGGCGAGGGTCAAACAATTAGGTACTAATAGACAGACATATATATGTATTGTATATAATGATATACATATTCTTAAAATCACCAAAAACTTAATAAAACCGACTCAAAAATAAAATAAAACATAATGAGATCTAAGATTTTCGCGACTTTTCATATAAATTAAACTAATTTTCGGATCATACTACATTCCCAAAGAGGGTTGATGTCAGGCAGGCGGCCGGTCGTAAAAACTATTAGCCAAAACTATTCACAACATGTAAGGCAGACCCTGGCTAAAGCTGGGAAATTGCCAGGAAGAAGAAGTCTACGTGACTTGATTTTTGTAAAAACTATATACTACATGCCGTGATCACGGTTGAAAAAAAGCCGAAACGTCGGTAATATGCAGTTTTTACAAAAATAAAGCAGCTATAATCCGACGAATTTTAGTATTTTTTCTTTAAATATTGCTTAAAAATTTCATTATTATTATATTTTTTTACTATTGTATGAAAAATAACCACTCCTCTTTAATATATTCCAGAATCCGATCTAAAGGAGACTCAAGCAGCTTTAATACTTTGCCGCCATGAGAGCCAAGAACTGGAAAAACGCGTGACGTCACTCACCCAACAGCTGGACACCTGCAAGAAGGAGCGTGATGACGTCACAGCTGCTCTAGCTACAGCTGAAGCACAGGTGCTCATTATAAGCAAGCTGGGATAAGCTGCATTATCCCTACTAATATTATAAATGCGAAAGTAACTCTGTTTGTCTGTCTGTTTGTCACGATTTCACGCCTAAACCACTGAACTGATTTTAATGAAATTTGGTACAGAGATGGAGTTGACCTTGAGAAGGAATATAGGATAGTTTTTATTCCAGATTTTTGAAAGGTTGTCTTGGAAACGCGATATAATCGAACTCCACACGCGCGAAGCTGCGTGCGGAGAGCTAGTCTTATATATAAAAGAAAGTCTTGTTAGTTACACTATTTATAACTCAAAAACGGCTGTACGGATTTGGATGGAAATTGGTGGAGAGATAGATTAGAACATAGAAAGATATGAATACTTTACATCCGGTTGAAAAAGAAAGGAAAAATAAGTTGATCAAATACAAAATCTTCTTATCTACTGTCTTTAAGAAATAGAGTTAGCCAGGTCATCTATAGATTACTAATTCTGAAACTTATGCAAACCTAGTTTAAAATAAAGTATTTTAGCTATTTCATTATGATATACTAATGTATATATAGTTATATATATATATAGTTACAGCCATCTAGGAATTTTCCATCCAAGTGTAATATTGAACGGTAACTCTGGAATAGGCCTGGAATGAATATTATTTAGCATTTCCAGGTTAAAGCCATATAAACTGACTTATTAATATATACTATAACGCTTTAATAATAGTATAAATATTTTTTATACCATTAAGTTAAAGAAATGATTCCATACTAGTAGTTTTGAAGTTTTCTATACCTTAATTGATACTATCAATAAAATTTATTACTGAAAACCTAGAGATAATGTATGTAGTTTGAATTTCAGTATATTAGATTCCAGGTCTATATATCCAGGTGTATATAAACTAATTATTTCCAGGTGTCGTCTTTGAAGGATAGTAACATTCGCTTGGAACTGGAAGCGGCCGAGCTAGCCTCATTACGAGCAAGGGCTGCATTAGCTGATACATTAGCCGGACAGCTGGAACGGTATAAAATAATTATAATATCTCTTCTTCTTCTACCTGGCAATTTCCCAGCTTTAGCCAGGGTCTGCCTCACATGTTGTGAATAGTTTTGGCTAATCGTTTTTACGACCGGCCGCCTGCTTACATCAACCCTCTTTGGGAATAATCATATAATTATAATATGTTATATATAAAATTCTCGTGTCACAATGTTCCTTCCCGAACTCCTGCGAAACGGCTTGACTGAGTTTGATGAAATTTTGTGAGCATATACAGTAGGTCTGAGAATCAGCCAACATCTATTTTTCATATCCTAAGTCATATGGGTTGTTCACCCTTTATTTTATTATGTTTTGGACGAAATTTTTTGTTTTTATTTTTTTTATTCACACATTCATTCATTCACTCATTCTATAAAGAATAGACTCATCCACAAAACCATATGTTTATTTAATAAACAATTCTATCAATTAAAGTGATAAAATTCTTTGAAATTGGTATCGCTTAAGAGCTGGAACTGAATTGATGATCACGGTGGTCGTATTATATATATATTTTTTATTCCACTAAAACAAGACATTACAGAAAATTACATAATAGAAAAAACATAAAGGCGGACTTATCTCTAAAATAGATCTTCAATCTATGGAGGTGAATGATAAGAGTTATACTGCAGACTTAAAGGAGATAGTTTTAATATACAGTGAATAAAAAATAAAGTATTATACATAGAAGGAAAAGGAGCTGATTTGGTTATTATGTCTTAATCAGTATTATGGGTAACATTCAACGGTTGTAACAGTTCGTTCTTTCATTTATCATTCATTCATTCGTTCATTCATTCGTTCCAGTGAGTCAGCCCGAGCCAGTTCAGCCGAGGAGTCTCTAAGTGTGGAGCGTGCGAGGGCAGATACATGTGCTCGCAGGGAGGCGGCCGCCTTACAACACGCGGCCACACTCACCGCTGATCACGTGGCGCAGAGAGCGAGGCTGGCGGATCAACACGCTGCTGTTAGTATATACAGGGTGACTGGTGAATTACTATCAATATTTAAGGAGCATACTCGGTATATGATTCTCATTCGAATTATGTAAAAAAAATAGGCACTTAATTTTTGACCAAATTTCCGTATAAATAAGTAAAGTGTTGACACGTTCCAAATGTTCAAGTGTCGACGCGTGCGGCGACGTGCTGATACAACACTACGTCACGATACGCGTATGTGTGAGTGTCAGTGTATACCTAATCTGTAGGGCGTTCACACGATGCGTAATTAATTACATAACTTTTGGTTAACTTTACTTAGAAGTTTATTAATATTTATGTTATATTAAATTTAATTTTGTCATATATGATCGTCAAATATCACGTCCTCAAATATCGATAGTAATTCACCAGTCACCCTGTATATTGTTAAATAATTATTAAACTCAAGCCACCTATATAAGGACAATAAGACACTTTTTGTTCTCAACTATTGTCAAGAGAAGAACCTCTGCTCTAATTAGTCTCGAATATTAATTAATTGACCCTTGGCCGGCGACCGTTTGTTTTTAAAAATCATAACGTGTTTTTCATTTCTAACAATATATATATATATAAGGAATTTGATAGAAACATATATGTATATTCACTTTTATTATAATCACAGGTAATATCTTTTCTCGAAATACTGACCGAAAACCGACCTCTTTTATATTTGTACTAGCTTTCGTGTGAGTTCGGTTATATTGCGTTTCCAAGAGAACCTTTCAAAAGTCTGGGAGAAAAACCATCCTATGTTCTTTCTCAAGGTCAACTCTATCTCTGTACCAAATTTCATTAATATCAATTCAGTGGTTTAGGCGTGAAAGCGTAACAGACAGACAGTTAGTTTCGCATTTATAATATTAGTAGGGATTTGTTTACGTTAACAATAGGAATGTTTTAGTAAACGGTTAGCTAGTAGTTCGTCCGCTTGTCACGAGATGGCGCTGCCACAAAGTCGATTCGTCCGTTAAGCTGATCTTTAAGATTACTAACAATATAATACACATCTTGTTTCTATTACTGAAACTATTTTTGTCATTGATGAGCATCAAAAGGACCACTTCTATACACTTCATACTATATACAGGGTGACTGGTGAATTACTATCAATATTTAAGGAGAATACTCGGTACATGATTCTCATTCGAATTATGTAAAAAAAATAGGCACTTAATTTTTGACAAAATTTCCGTATAAATAAATAAAGTGTTGACACGTTCCAAGTGTTCCAAGTGTGGACGCGTCCGGCGGCGTGCCGATACAACACCACGCCGCCGCACACGTCTGTGTGAGTGTGTGTGTATACCTAATCTGTAGGGTGTTCACACGATGCGTAATTAATTACATAATTTTTGGTTAACTTTACTCAGAAGTTTATTAATATTTATGTTATATTAATTTTTATTTTGTCATATATGATCGTCAAATATCACGTCCTCAAGTATCGATAGTAATTCACCAGTCACCCTGTATATAATTCTTCTGTGAGTGTGTATGTCACTGAACTTCTCTCAAACGATTGGACCGATTTTAATGAAATTTTTTGTGCGTGTTCAAGGGGATCTGGGAATTGTTTAGATTCACAATTTTGTCCGCTGGACAATGTTTTTTTAATTAATTTTTAATTGATTAGTTGTTGTTGATACAAACGTGTTTTTTTTACATTAGATTTGACAACTAACTAATATGTCAATCATTCTGTCGCACTTCAGAAAATAGAGATTTATGGCTTTAATAGGTAAACTCCAAATATATAAAAAACGTAACAGATATTTCTTGATTAGGTATAGGGCGATACGAAGTTCGCCGGGTCTTCTAGTATATATAATTTTTTACATTATTCTATATGTTATCATACTATATGTTCCAGGTACAAGCTCTAACAGCCGACAACAGTTCCCTTCGTGAGAGACTCCTCTCCCTCACTGAAGAACTGAAGACTGTGAGTGAGGAGCGAACTCGAGAGAATAGGGCTTTAGCGAGGAAGGTGAGGCTGGACTGATTTTAATAAAACTTTGTACATATATAGTCTGAATCGAAGATAACTGAATATTTTTACACTGGTATGACCCAAAAGATTATATTGATATTTCTAGTCAATTTTAATTCGATTTAGACACATTTGTAAAGAAAATATGTATAATAATTGGTTTTTTAATGTAAAATATTGATTTTAGCTAAAATTATACACATATTTCAGTTTTCAGTGAGTGAATCTAATATAAGCTCTGTTTGAACTACAGTTGTTAATAAATATAGTAGACTAATACACAACATGGATATAATTATATATATTTGGGATATCGCATTAACTAGAAGTCGTGGGGTTCGACTCTTGATTGTGTAATGATAAGATTCATTACACACACACATACATATGTACATATATTACACCTAATAATACATTATTAGTAATTAAAAACTTTATAGAAATATATTACATAATTGCAGTTGTCTTATTTAATAAGTCAAAATAAGAATATATTTCAGATCGCGGAATTAACAGAGGAATTGAATGACGTTACCAAGAAATTGGAATGGGAGAAAGGAGAGAATAATATACTAAAGAAAAAACATTCCAGTGCTATCAAGGTAACAATGAAACAACTCCTTATCAACATCTATCTAATAATAAAAGTTACATCGAAATCGGTCCAGCCGTTTCTGAGATTTTTTTTATATGGCAGGAGATGAATCGCGAACTGCAGAGGGCTTTGAAACGTATTGAACAACTCGAGGCTAAAATACCACCGGATACTACTTCAACAAGGACTGGTAAGATATACTACTAGCATATATGTATATATATATATGTATGTATATATGTAATAGTGTAGTGTACAATAAAACTATATCATATTAGTAGTATATATATATATATATATATTATGCTAAGTAGCAAGATAGTACTGTATAATGAACCTAATATAATAAAGTGATTTATTTACATTATACTTGATACCAAGCAAGTATAAGTAATACATAACATAAAATAATATTAGTACATATTATATACATTAATTTTATTGGTTATATGACAGACATATATGTATATATGACTTATGTAAAGCATGATTATCTTTTATCAATAAAAAAAGACATAGTTGGTCAAAATATATTGATATAAATAAATATTATAAAACAAAGTGGTTTCATTTGATAGAAGATGTACAGAATTAATTATATACTTAACTAGCTTTCCGCCCGCAGCTTCGCCCGCGTGGAGTTCGGTTATATCGCGTTTCCAAGAGAACCTTTCAAAAGTCTGTGATAAAAACTATCCTATGTTCTTTCTCAAGGTCAACTCTATCTCTGTATCAAATTTCATTAAAATCAGTTCAGTGGTTTAGGCGTGACAGCATAACAGACAGACAGACAGAGTTACTTTCTTCAATTATAATATTAGTAGGGATAATTAATTTTATGTTACAGAATCGGTCTCATCTTTAAGCAGCAGTGATAGTCCGGAGGAGAGAGCAAACTTACAGACAGACACACTACCAGATGTACAGGTATATATAGAAATAATATAGTCACATAAACAATATAGGCTTTTATATTTAATAATGAGAAATATGTATATAAAAAACCTAAATATATTATGTATCTATATATTTTAAAAGAATGACTTCAATAGTCATTTTAACAGTGTAGACATATACAGTAAAAAGTACTATAAATTTAAGAAACAGGTTCAAATTCTGTATCACTCGCACATATTTTTGTTAAGTGTTTAATTTATTACTAATTGTGATAAAATTACCTTAAAAGTCGTTAATATAGAAAATATTTCAGCTTAAAATATTCTTCTGATAATCTGCTTCTAATGTAGATACGCGGAATTATCAAATGCTAGTTACGCGGATTTGCACTATCCCTTAGTATATATATTATTAATTTTCATAAATATATTTATTTCACGCTCCCAGGAACAGCAGCAGGTATTATTATAATTATCAAAATAATCATATTTCAGATAAAGCATGCGAATGTACTAGATCACTTGTTTCTGAAGGTATTTGTGGGGGTTTAATTCTTCGTTTCATTAATAGATGACGCTCTTAAATTATAGTTTAACTAGTAGATAAGAGATGGCGCTGTTAATTGTAATTTCGCTGGTAGATAAAAGATGGCGCTCTTAAAATTAGTTTCGGTTTTTTGATAAAATGTAGCTTAAATAAATATTAGTATCGTTTTTAAATCAAAGATTTTTTTAGATATTTAGACTTTTTAGATTTAACAGTTATCAATGATGCTATTTATCATCTTTGGGTATTAAATATAGGCCAAAACGTTATACTATATACATATATTTGTTAATTCACAATTTGAATCCATATCAAACCAGTATTAGTACTAAAGTTAAGTTTAGTTTGTTAATAATATATAGAGATTATTCATTGTAAAGCTTTCATATCTTCGTCTCCCATATACAGGGTGACTGGTGAATTACTATCGATATTTGAGGACGTGATATTTGACGATCATATATGACAAAATAAAAATTAATATAACATAAATATTAATAAACTTCTAAGTAAAGTTAACCAAAAGTTATGTAATTAATTACGCATCGTGTGAACACCCTACAGATTAGGTATACACAGACACACACACACACACGCGTGCGGCGGCGTGGTGTTGTATCAGCACGCCGCCGCACGCGTCCACACTTGGAACACTTGGAACGTGTCCACACTTTATTTATTTATACGGAAATTTGGTCAAAAATTAACTACCTATTTTTTTTACATAATTCGAATGAGAATCATGTACCGAGTATTCTCCTTAAATATTGATAGTAATTCACCAGTCACCTTGTATATATATATATTTCTACATAATTTATAAATATCGTTTTTTTTCCAAGGCTCGCGAGCCCGATCGTCAAGCGTTAGTAGAGCGTATAGTATCATTACAACGAGCGGCTGCCGCGAGGGCAGAGCGATGTGAATTCCTTCAAGAGCATTGTGCTCAACTAACGCGGGAACTACGAGGCAAGGGACGAATACTACGAGCACTACTACCTACACTACCATCCGCTGAACTAGCGTCTGACAACGCGGAGAAACATAAGGTAGGTAGTATGATATACTAAATCGCTACTAATATTATAAATGCGAAAGTAACTCTGTCTGTTTGTTACGCTTTCACGCCTAAACCACTGAACTGATTTTAATGAAATTTGGTACAGACATAGAGTTGACCTTAAGAAAGAATATAGGATAGTTTTTATTCTATACTTTTGAAAGGTTCATTTGGAAACGCGATATAACTGAACTTAACGCGGGCGAAGCTGCGGGCGGAAAGCTAGTATTACCATAAGTATGATGATTGAGTACTAAATGTATGATTTGAGTACTAATAATGATTACTAATATAAAAATTTGGTAGATAGGTAGTACGAATGAGGGACTATCAGATGATTTGTAGTTTATGGTACAATATTATATCTTTACCCTGGTTTAAAGTTGACCATTACCTGTAGTACTTTTAGAAGTGAATCAAGTTACCCTCCTGTAACCAGTGTATATCCAGGTTTTTTTTTATTTATACAGCTCCCTCTGACTTGGTCAGAGACCTTGTTTACAATTGTTTTAAAACCTTCCATACAAGTTCTCGCTCACACGAGGGCCTTTCATTCTTCATACTGGTTCTTTCTTTCATCCATCCCTTTCATACCTCTGACCAGTGTGCCTACTATCTCTCCATCTGTATATCCAGGTTACATCTGGATTTTTGATACACCTGGAACTTAAATAATACTTACATCTGGATACATCTGTGTCGTTAGAAAAATTCTGTACGCAGCCACTTTTTTTTTATTTCAACGTGACGTCACTGGAGGTGTGACGTCGGTACGGGTGGGGGGGGGGGAGGGTTTAATCCCGTTTCTATATAAAAGAGATATTTTTGTGTCGCCTCTAATATATCGTTGGGTTTACTACAACCAACTTGTAGCTAAAGATTCGTTCACTTACATAGTTTAAAAATAGGTCTATTATGTACTTGCTAGTGACGTCATATTATAGTTTATATGAATTGAAAATTAGTTTTGGTAATATTTTGAATCTATCAAATATCACTACAAGAATATGTATTACTAGCTGCGCCCCGCGGTGTTACCCGCGATTTCCGAGATGTGAAGTAGCCTATGTGCTATCCCTGGACGTCAGCTTCCTGTTTACAAAATTTTAACAAAATCGGTTGAGCTGTTTGAGCGTGAAGAAGTAACAAACATACACACTGACAAACTTTCGCAATTATAATATTAGTAGGATATACTTTAACATGTTCTATATGGTTTTATTTGATATGGTACAATAAATATATAAATCCATTATCTTGTTTCTTACGCTGCTTTTTAAGAAACGGAAGTTCACCAAGGTAATATTATAAAGTTACGGAATAATGATATTAAATATAAATATATGAATATGCCTGTAAATTGTAATTAATTTATTTTGAAATTATTTTATTAATTTATTTATGTCATGATTTTTTTAAATAATTTTCTCAACTCTCATTGATCATATTATTATTTTGCTCCAAATGAAATTGTAATAGGTGGAAGCTTTTTGGTTTGTGTATTTTTGATTGTTTTATACTGTTTGTTTCCCAAAATAAAATAAAATAAATATTTCAATGATATTTGGCATTTAATAGAAAGAGATAGCACGTCTCGGAGGCGGGGCTATGGCGGCCGTGTGGGGGGGAGATCCGGGGGGAATGACCCTCGAATTGTCTTTGGAGATGAACAGAAGATTACAAGCTGTGCTAGAAGACACATTACTAAAGAATATAACACTAAAGGTAAGGAATTTAATGGAATTTAGGTTTAAAGAATTTATTCTCAAAAAGACATTGTCACTTACATGAGGACATACATACTAAAGTAGTCGCCAAATTATTTGGAACTCAATTAAGATAGTAAGATATTATTACAAGTGTGTTACATCGTTAGTATTACAATTATTTTCTAAAATATGTTGTGAAAGTTGAGATTTAAATTCATTAATTGTGCTTGCATATCTTATAGTAGACGGTAATTTGTTGTAAAGTTGTGCTCCCTCAGATGTAATATGCTTTTTTGCAAATTTTGTCATTTGAATTTACGAACAGATATATCGATGGCTCCTATGTATAAGGTCCAATGTGCAAAATTTTTCAGTAGAGTCGTTCTAAGTTTGATTTCAATGTATCTTGTACATACAACTGATGCTTCTGAAACTTTGTATAGCAACTATGACATACATGTACGTCGTTTAAGATTGATATATTTTTTTAAACCTACTAGTTTTTTAAATAATGTATATAAGCCTTTATACGTTAAAAATTTTGTTGAGTTTTTACTGCAATAAAAACTAAGTCTTTTCACCAACAGATTCAATTTTTTAAATGGATGTAGATTACAGCATTATGAAGTGTTTAAAGCAAAAATAATGAAAATCAATAAATTGCTACATAGGACCCATCGATATACATAGATAAAGTAAGGAAATGAATATAATTGATATATGGACGCGATAGCTCAAATGTTAGAGTGACGCCAACCAATCTCTTGAGTCGTAGATTCGATTATTTTTTAATCTTATTGTATTTTTGTTTATCGATAGTTACTCAATATAATATTGTTTTTTATTGTAACAGGAGAATATGGATACGCTTGGGGAAGAGATATCGAGATTAAGGGAACAAATGAAATGCAGTGATGCTAAATAGGACTTATATTATGTACATATACACAGACATACATATATATATAAATAAAGATATATATTGGGTTTATATATTAATTTGTGTGAAGGATATAGTGTATTGTTGGGGAGACCGGGGTGATTCGATAATATGAAAATCAAAACGTCTATTAAACATCTTTTACCATAGAACATTAAGAATTAGACTTAATATTCTTTAGTAAGATTTGAGGACCCACAAAGGAAGACTATCTCCCACTTTTAGAGAAGACTGTTTTGAATGCTTAATTCAAATGACTCAACTTAGTCAATATCTGCTTCTAATTATTCCGTGTCAGTAAAATGATCATTACGACACTCCCGGTCACTTTCAAACATAATTTTATTAATCTATTTGTCTCTTCTAACCAAGCAAGTATTTCGTAAATTTGTCATTCACTGTTACTCGTAACTACGTATGCTTGAAAAATAAATTCTCAAAAAAAAAAAATTAAGTTGATACTACACAGGAGACAAAAAACGATTATTTTGTAGAAATAATTTATAAAAACTGATAAAAATTATCTGAACTAAATATAATTGTCAAAAAATACCTATAACTAAGTGTTTTATGGATAAATACTAGTTCTATTACAAAGTAAGTGCTGATTTGTACCCATTCTAAAATCAAATAAATCTAACCAAACGAAACAAACTTAAATTAAACCTACATATTTATATATGGACACATAAAAACTAAGAAAAAATATGCTTATACTAATGTAATAAAAATGTTCGTGAATAAATGCTAAACTAAAACAATAAAAGAAACTTGAAATATATAAAAGATGACAAAGTCTGACGTCTGTCCGTTCGTGTAAGTATAGTTGGTCATCTGTTGTTCCTTGTTGCTCCCCGCCTCTCACTTATATCGGAAACTGGATAAAAGTATATTCATCTCCAGGGTTCCATCTATCGTTATACCAAAATTTATCACAATCGGTTCAATTATATAAGCGTGGAAACGTAACAAACAGACAGAGTTACATTCGCATTTACAATATTATTAGGGATTTCACACAAAACTTGTATATACGGTTAAATATATCAGTATTACTAACACAATACACATGTATTTAAAATAGAAAACTTAGTAATAATTATCCAAAGACCTGACAAGTGACAACACTCCCCGACCTACTCAGAGCTCTCTTTGCCCCGGTCTCCCCTTTATAAAAGCATTGAAGACATAAAAACACATAACTAATTTTATTAATATTTATTGAATACTTATATACAAAATACAAGCCTTTTTTTCCTAACGCTATTTGGAGAAAGAATTCCATTAAAAAGTATTATTGACCATTCCATATGTCTAAGAAATTTGAAATCAACCAATAAAATACATAAAATCATTGATACATATATTTTTCATATAAAAAATATTAATTTATGTTGTAAATAATAATTAAATGTTGACGGTGTTGCCATGAAGATTTTTAGACAACATTACCTCATTTAGTACTGTAATTAATAATTATATATTTTTTTCTTGTATATAATTTAATTTTAAGTTGATTTAATTGTGTTAAGATATTTTGGTTCTGAAAAATTATGAATTACTTAAAATATGTGTTTATTTGTAAAAAAAATCATGATTGTTTCAGGAAATTGAAAAATCCATTTCTTGGTATAATATTGTCACAAATTGGATTTTTCTTAAGTAGTTTTGGTTCATAATTTATTTTATTATATTTATATATGGAAAAAAATTGTCATGTTTTTATATACAGTGTAAACTCCATATAACGACACTCGATTTAACGACAAACTCTCTAAAGCGTCGAAATCATTTGACTTTGGTTGGTTTAGCTTGTATACCATACAATGATACACTCTATATAGCGTCACAGCCACTCTCAATAACGACAAAATTAAGTAATAAAAAGTACCCTTTAAGTTGCTAAAATTAGTAAAAAATGCGCAGCTGTGTACGTTTTTTTGTCGCTTTGTTATCCTAGCCCGCAATAAACTCCACTGTCGTAATCATGCATACCAAACTTTCTAAGAAATTCGTTCTTCACCAATATGCCTCAATATCGCAAGATATGAATAAAATACGTAAAAAATACAACAACATTACTGGTGCAGCAAAACACGTCAAACAAAAACAACAGACTTTATAACATTCTTTTTTATGTACATAAGTACTAACAGTAGTCTGAAACAAACTTTGTCTTTTTCTAATTCTGATTTTTCTTCCCTCTATTTAACGGCAACTCTCTATAACGCACTAAAATGCACGGTCCCTTCAGTGTCGTTATATAGAGTTTACACTGTATATGAAATTTTGAGTTATTTCAAACGGCTAAGTGACTTTTAATTATTATTTTGTTTTTGGTGCTGACTTTATGCTGACTTTCAAGTATATAATGTTTATTTATGAATTATATCACAAACATAATCCGTTGTAATATAACAGAATATATTTTCAAACAGAAAATTTTGTTTTATTTACAACATATATAAAGCATTTTAATTTCATATGTTTTAAATCAAATTGATCTTGAAATAATGTATTGAATTAAATGTTGAGTCCACGCCTTTTGTCAAAAAAGACTTTGAAGGTTAAAAAAATTATATAAAGCTAAAAATTTCTATAAATTTAGAATACTATTATATAATGTAAAAAGTTTCAAGAAATCCTCCATGGTCTACTTCATTCCATTGGTCTTAAAACTTACGACATAGATTGCAATCAAAGGTACACAACTGTCAGATATCTAATAATGTTTCACAGTTTTATGTCATGAAGCTTATTAAAATTATATTTCATTGATATCATGAAAATGAATGATCTATTTACCAAGAAATGGAATTGATTTGAAAAGAACTACGTTTTGCTAAAAAAATATTAAGTACACCCTTAAAATGTGTAAAAGATGTAAAATCGTGACGTATAAGTCTCTTCACGTATTTTAGGTTGGAGTAGTATAATCTATCGAGATGTGCACTAGCTGGTTTTAGCTTATGAAAAGAAAAAAAGGTGTATTGCTGTACGTCAATTGTTTTTTTGTCTTTCAGAGAATAATTATTCCCATGTAATGCTTGTGTGTTCGTCATTTTATTTAGTTTGAAACTTCGTACTCCTTATATTTTTGTTGGTAATGTTACAGTTTATGTATTTTATATATTTATATCTTTTTACTGAATGTTTTAATAGGTACTTCGACGATAAGTTGTGAGTTGGATGTCATGAGAATAATGATAGAAATCTATTTATTCGCAGCTCATCGTACTAATCTATAAGTAATGTCTTAAGTGTTATCAAGTAAACTTTGATACACATTTTAGATATCCTTGTGCCAATGATAATAATAAGTTTCAGAGTTTTCTCTGGTGTCCTGATGTCAAATGTATAACTAAATATTGCTGTGTTCTATTGGAACGATACCCGAGCAACTATTTAATTGATTGATTCTAATCACATCACTATTAATTACATTGATAATTAATAATTACTATTTGATATTGCAATAATTTTGATTTGTTAAATGTTAATATTCGACTATCAATTGATACACTTATAAAATGCTAATGTTTAAAAAATTGTCTTGGCGTTGATACTGTTATGACTGTCAGTTGGTTCTATAATCAAAAATCATATCTGTTTTTCATTGTGTAAGATTAAAGGCTGTATCAGGCAGGGGCGTGCAGATTATACATACATGCAAATACTCTACCATATAACAATTTGTACGGGTTTGTACATTAAAACAATGCTGGTTCAAGGTTTCACAGTTTTATTTCTACACGAAGATGTTCTTAATCTAAAACCCATCGCGGGCTGACTCTCAAATAACGCGCACTGGTATAGGCTTCCCGCAAATGTTCTCACTACAGCGGCTTCTGCAGCTGATTCACTTGTAGGCTTCCGGTGAACGTTTCACTTGTAAAGTCTTCTGGTAGGTCTTGCTCGTGAGAGTTCCGCTTGCTTGCTAAGGTTGTTCTATTATTTATATTTCTGTCGTACATAATCTTACATTGTAACTTATACTATATCTAAGGCTATCCCGCACACAACTAAATCTATATTGTTTAATTATTACTTACATACTTTTAATCATACATTACGAAATACAAATGTTTACAGACATTTAATATAAGATTCAAGATTTGTTTATGCAAGTGCACCTATCAAGGTAAAAACGAAACATTTTCGATCGGCCGCTGCTAAGTGCTAGCGCTGCTATGCAGCCAGAGCGGCGGTATGCACAACCACTCTCTACTTATTTTCCATACAAAAATTCTCAAGGACGATCAACAAATCTCGTGTATGTATACAGGAAATGTTTGTATGTGTGTGTAAAACTAACACATGCATAGTATTCGGGAAGCACTGATTATTTTGTATTGCTTAAAATATCGTAGAAAGTCCTTTAATTAATTGTCAAATGAAACGGGAATCTGATTGGTCGGTAAACTGTTAATATATTTTTTCGCATTTTATTATTATTGAATATTGTCATTTGTCTTTCTAAGCGCAAGTGAATAAATTTTAATTAATAAACAGTGGATTAATTTATTAACGAATTATGGAAATTATAGCTGTGAACGGGTGTGCTTGTGATATGATTATTGAAATTAGTTACGAGTTGATTTTCAATATTGTTGTTTGATAATAAAATTAAAATAAGTGTAAAGTCAAGGTGTTTGACCAGTTGAGATTGAACTAAACGAAAGGTAATGTTATTCGTTTGAATAAAAAGCATTATGATAGTTTTAATTATTAATCATTTTGTGTACACAAATTTGTTATTTTGTTTGCCTTGTTCGTTGTTTTCAAATGGTAATAATAATGTTTGAACCTCTATATATTCCTATTAATAACTTTTATAAAGCTATTATTGTAATCGTTTTAAGGTACTTTCGTGGCTCAAAGGTAGTTGAGATTTTATAAAGTATGTATATAGATGTTCGTTCTGATCCGACTGCTGTAACATTATATACGAATATTACACTAGTTTACAAAATTTTACTTTTTGT